CCATTCACGGCAGTTTTGTTTAAAAGCAGTGAAACAAAAATAGTAAATCTAAACTTAAGCAATCAAGTTGTAAAAGTTGTTATTTTGATAGGCCCATTGTCTCTTCCGGTGAGTGTTCATCCGAATAAAATTGGAAAGAATTCATAGAATAAGTAGGCCTATTGTAGTAGTTAGTAAGTAGTATTAGACCATTGATTGTTTTAATTTCTTTCTATGATTACGGACTAATCCTATACCCGTGAAATATACCAGCTTTTCTTCGAGATTATAATACGACGCAGTACAACTGAAATTATGCAATAAGCCTCGGCTGAAGCGGTTGTATTTAGCAACTACCGAAGCGAAGTCTGGAGGATATGAATACTTAAGGCCAACTCAGACAGCGTCGGCCGACGCAGCCCGACGCGATTTGTTGTCGCGTCGGGTCTGTGTTAGTTGAACCATGGAGGTATTATTGAGAAGGAGATCACTCGGCAAAGCTACGCGCACGCAGCGCTATGCAAATGAACCAAGATCAAAGTTGCCGCAGCGCGTAAAGAACGTTTGCGCGATGCCTTTGAAGTCCCATGTGTTCCCCGCCATCAAGTTTTCAGCAGGCATAGTTGACCAAAAAATTGAACATGATGAAATGGAGAGCACCTTCTTTTCTCAATGCGCACTACATACTGTCAATCACTATGGCTGCGCAATTTTTTTTATTTTGAAGCTGATACATTCATCTCTCATAAAATATCAAACATATTAATATTTTCCACTAAGAAAAGTTTAGAATTTAATGGAACATTTACATGACCTATAAAAGTATAGTATATTTCAACTTCAATTTTCATAAATTGGCCTAAATTCGCCCATTCTAATTTTAACAGATAATAATTAATAAATGATTAAGGATTATAATAAACTAAGTCATTTTAGGGTTAACGAGGGTTAACTATTCGAAAAATGAATCCAAAATCTGAGTATTTTTCAGTTTTACACTGACTTAGCTTTATAGTCGAGCTGTCAGTTACAGTACTTTCCTATGAAAATTTTCATATCGACGTCGTTTCTCCACCTTGTTTTTATTACCACGGACCGATACGTCTCAATAGTAAAACCTTTGAGATATGAACAAATTGTTACTCGGTCACGAATTTATTGTGCTATTGCTTTTTCTTGGATTACCGCTTGTGTGTATGCTGTCTCTTATACACATCTCTGTCTGAGTTGGCCTTTAAAAGTTAAATGAACATGTGGCCATTTGTTTTCCAGTGTATTACAGAGTTTTAGTATAAGACGAACATTTTTATTACTCTTTAGCATTTCGATATCTGAAAGGTTCTGGATATTTACAAGGTGAATGAGCATGTTGCTGCATTTTAATCAAACCATAATATATTCAAAGAACACACGCTTATGGTGCAGCAATTCGGCTTTTATTTAATTAAAAAATATACACTGACAGTACATTATAAATAATCTATGTATAACAGTCGATTATTAATAACAATTCCAGCTTTCTGATTGGTCACTATCGATACTTTTAATAGGAAAATATTCATGAAAAAAATATATAATAGACCAAAGTAGATAAGCTAGAATAATAAGGTCATAAATAGTGAATATCTGTTCAAGGAATCTAAAGCCCTAATTGAAAAGTATTAAATTCACTGCGTTCTTTCCCTGTGTGGCAATGTTAATGAAACCATGTTTTACACTAAGGTTGGCCCATTTAGGAATAAAACTAAACTAATTCCTTCATGTTAGGCCTAAGCCACCTCCAAAGAGCAAAACCATAGATGACTGCATATATTTTACAAATATATTCAAACGGGGTGCTTAATCGCGCGAGATACGGTATCGACTTTTTCATGAATATTATACTATGTAAAGTATCGATAGTGACCAATCAGAAAGCTGGAATTGTTATCCTAGAGCGTGAAGGTGGTATGAGTTCGTGTCTAGCGAATCCCGGCGAGCGCTAGAACGAGTGGAACTAGCTTGCGAACCGTGTTTCAGCGTTGGTAAGATGATTCATCTCGATATGTCAGCGTGTTGAAGGGCGTAGGTTATGGAGTGTAATTGCAGTAAGTAAATGCTCGCTGGAGTCTGATATTTTGAATTTCATTTTTATTATTCAATGTATGACGAAACAATTTCTTGTACTATATATTTTTTTTGTTGCTTTATAGCAAGACAAAAAATGGCCTGTACAGTGTATTTTCTTATAAGTTATTGTCTTAATGTTGTATATTATGACATTGACGAGGACATTGATTGTTAAAACCACTCCTGAAAATTGTAGTGGACACCTCAATAAGAAATATACAGTACATTATAAATAATCTACGTATTATAACATTATAATAGAATAACAATTCCAGCTTTCTCATTGGTCACTATCAATACTTTTAATGGGAAAATTATATATTCATGAAAAAATAGATAATAGACCAAAGTACCGTAGGTCAGCTAGAATAATAGGATCACCATATAAATAAAAAGTCACGAATAGGCCTACCTGTTCCATGGATCTAAACCATGGATCTAAATTCCCCCGATACTTGGTGTAAGGCCGATCGCAGAAACCTGTGTTGAGTCGATCTGCTGCAGGGTTGCCAGATAGCCGACAGGCTTCACGGCCAAACACACGCCATCTCACAGCCAAATTCGGCCAAACTTTTTTCGATATCGGCCAAAATTCGGCCAGATTTTAATCCCATTAGAAGACAACTGAGGGTACATTATTCAATTAAAATACAAACACTACACGAAAATCAACTGTCATTTGTTTAAAATTGAAGAAATTATAATGATATACACAGAACAATGTTAATCGTTCACTGTTTTTATAATTAATCACCATAATTAAATGCCCAGATAGCTACATCATAATATTAAATAGGCCTCTGTTCTATAATTAGTTGCTAGCATGTAGGCCTATTTAAAGTCACATTATTAAGATCGATCTAAATTTGATTTAAATGTACTAAATAACATACATTTTATTGTAGTCGATCTATATCAATGATTTTAAGGGCCTGTTATAGAATCTTCAATGACAAATCCGTGGCTCTCTTAAATTAGAATGAAAGTTACGTTAGTAAGGTAACACTAGCCGATGATAAAACAAACCTATGAAAACTTTATTATATAATAAATACTTTTATCTCTTAATTAAATCTTAATTAATTATCTTAATTAAATATTTCTGAATTCGCCTCTGAATCATGTTGTTGAATAAATCAATGTCGCTAACAGAACTATCTTCTTCATGATTCTCATATACAACCTAACTCCAGAGTAACTTCGAAGAAGTCTCAGCAACACTTGCTTGAAATTGGAGGTGCCATTGGACCCGAATGATCACATCGAGCATTTGATGGCACTTCACATAAAGAACTATACTATTTATTATATTTTTTTTTCAATTCTCAACCAAAAGAGATAGAAACCTCCTCTAGGTTGGAACATATGCAAAGAACACAATATATGGTGCAAAACTTGCAATAAACTCTCTTCATAAAGTTTTAAACGAGGATAAACTTCATAAAAAATATATATTTCATCCGAACATTTTAAATTATTAAATGTAACTGCTAATCTGCTAAATAAACTCTTTTACGTCAACTTGGCCAAAGTGGGGGAAGGGGCATACATTAAGCGTTTAGTGCGAGTACGACTACTAACGTTCAATAAAAGGTACACAATTAGAATCAAAGCTTTTGTACAAAATAACATACTGTATTCAAAACAAGTCTACGTTTTATTAGGCTTATATTGAAAAAAATGTAAACTTTTCACAAAATTCGGCCAAATATAGTTTGGCCGTGACTTTTCAAATGTATACGGCCAGATTTGAGGAATCTGGCCGTCAAAAAGGCTAAATGGCAACCCTGATCCACTGTATGACTGTATGAACATCGTGGCTGCTAGATTTTAGTCTTTACCAGTTATTCTTTACTGTACTTAGAATAGTATGTATGGCGCCCTCTATCGAGAGGGTATCGCAAGCCTCGCTCCGGTCAGTTTTCATTAAAATTTTCCAATTTAACTGTTACATTAGCGTGTCCGATCGTAAGTTAGTGTAGCTATTCCCCTCTAGAGAGTGGTGCTACATTATGATATAATTGTCTTTCCCCTTATAGAGTACAAGCATAGTAGCAATTTGTTAACATAAATTTCTTTGCTATTTTTAATCCTATTAAGGAAGCTGCCAATCTCATGGGGAATGCATCGGTGACCACTCAGATTCACTGATATTGGTAAGCAATAATCTCAGCAGGTCTATAAATTTACATATCGAATACTTTTATGTCTAATAAAGGTTTATCCATTACAAGCTTATGTGAACCCGGAAGCCATACAATAATGTGAGCCTGGTAACGCTAATAGCAAAATCGGTTTGTACAGTTCTATAATTTGTTCTACATTAACATTCAGTGGCGGATCTAGGATTTAGTAATGGGGGGGGGGGGGGTGGAATGCGATTTGCGAAGCACCAAGCCGGGAGGGGGCGTGGTTTTGACAAGGGCGCAGATCTGTTTTAAAAGGTGAGGAGGGACATTTTGTGAGCCCACACCCACCTGAAAACACCTGGGGACCTTGGGGACGTATAAGCATACAGCAAAATAACACGTCAGGTTGGACAAAATCTTATAAATATAAAGACACTGTGATTACAACATTTTAACTCGTTCTAGTTTTTTATCGTATAACTAAACGTACAGTAATAAATGAGACATACAGAGTACATAATCGAGTCTTTATCTTCTTAATTTTATTATTGTAGATTAACACGGATAACTACAGTATGCTGTATTAAATGTATCAAATGGGATTAAACAAGCATAAAAAAATATATTAATGTCCGTGTGATAATGCTATACATAAATATAAATTGTATGGTCTTTGTATTGAAAAAAATGTAGGTCTATTAGCTCTCATTGACGTCACGCTACGTGATTGCAATCACTGAATGTCCATGTTCAGTTATGTTTCAATTGTGATTATGAGTTAGGCTTATGTAAGTTACGCCCGACTTTAACATGGATGTTACTGATATTAGTGCCCGAAACGTCACGGGCGAAGAATTTTGGATAAATATAATATTTGTTTTAACTATTTATATACCATTGGACTTCGTGATCATTTGTGGAAACGCTTTTGTTTTTGCTGTCATTCGCCAAACTCCAAGTTTACAAAAGCCACAGTTTACATTACTCGGAAGCTTAGCATTAGTTGACCTACTCACGGGAGTCATCGGCGTTCCCGTCTTTGTGTGGGGGTTTGTCACGCGGGGATCCCTTCACCTACTAAATATAGATAGCTGTCAGTTACAGTACTTTCCTATGAAAATTTTCATATCGACGTCGTTTCTCCACCTTGTTTTTATTACCACGGACCGATACGTCTCAATAGCAAAACCTTTGAGATATGAACAAATTGTTACTCGGTCACGAATTTATTGTGCTATTGCTTTTTCTTGGATTACCGCTTGTGTGTATGTCAGCATTCAATTGTTCTGGAAAAGCAAACGAATTGAAGGAGCATTCTTTTGCTTTCAAATGAATCCACAAGGTTTTGTAGTTCAACGTTACGTAGTTTTGATCCTGGTTCCGGCAGGTGTGATTTTACTGATTATAATGTACTTTCGTATTTTCATGGAGGCTAGAAAACACACAAGAGTCATAACATTGCATACCAGATTCAGCACTCAGACAACTGTTCATAAGAAATTTAAAGCAGCTAAAACAAGCGCTATGATAGTCTGCTTGTTCGCTGTTGCCTACTTACCTTATTCTCTAAGAGGCGTTATCTTTTTATTTGGGATTCAACGTTCTGAAATATACTGGTACGATTTGATGACGGAGGTGTTGTTGGCCATGAGTTCAGCCGTCAACCCATTCATTTACGTGTTCCGTCACAAGCAGTTTTCAACTGCTTTAAGTCGTATATTGCGAAACAACGCTGACGGTTATTGAATCACGATTTTATGATGAATTTCAATGTACGGTACTTATTTTACTACATTTTATAAACACAATTTCAAGTTTGGCGCATTTGTGTTAACTGCATTTTATAAGTCAGATTAAACACAGAGAACTCCATGACAGTAAACTTGGATTTACTGGAGTAATCCAGTCGTGAGTTTTAACTTTCAGTGCTTGTATTTCAATCTTGTAATAATGTTTGTCATTGTATTCTAAATGTTTTGATATAGGCCTATGATCATTAGTTAATTCGCCTGTTAGTGAAGACACTGGATACCGGAACTGATTGTGCACTAATTTTGAAGAAGAGTTCTGAATTCTGATTTTTTTATAATTGTAGTTACACGTTGAGTATATTTATAAAAAGTTGATACTCTATTTTTTTAAAATCACCTATTATTATTATGATTAAACATTGAAATAGACTACACTGTGAAAAATGTTGGATTGGAATCATAACATTGCTTGATACATTTGACAACGGCAATCTTAACAGCCTAAACACATAGTCGTGTTTTTCACGCAGTTATCTTTGCAGTTATTAATTCAATTCAATTTAATTAAATTCATTGAACATTTATTTCCATTTTCACAATTAAAAATGAAAAATCCTTTTGACAAATCCGAATACAATGGAGCAAAACCTTAAAAGCTCAGAAGTCTGCAGTAGGAAAGCCCTTGGATATATATATATATATAAAATATGTGTATATAATATATATATATATAATATATATATATGCTCTACATTTGATTACAGCCAATAAAAGTGTCATCTTCATTGATAAAAATCCAACAAAATGTATACCTTGCTCCGAGTTTTATTTTATATAGGCCTTTATGCTTATGTATACGGTATATGTTATATGAGCATTACGGTACTGAATATCGGTATGGCATTTATTTGAAACCAGCATTCAGAATCGGCTATCACTATTGAAACACATTTTGTTTACGCACATTTACTCTTAATTTATTTGATGCGTTTCGATTCGAGAAATAATTTAAGTGAGCGGAGCTCAGATGTGCGTCCTTCTGTTCATTAAACGTTTAGTGCGAGTACGAATACGAAAGTTCCATGTAAGCAAAGGTACACGATTAGAATCAAAGCTTTTGTACAAAATAACATATTCAAAACAAGTCTACGTTTTATTAGGCCTATATTGAAAAAAAATGTAAACTTTTCACAAAATTCGGCCAAATATAGTTTGGCCATGACTTTTCAAATGTATACGGCCAGATTTGAGGAATCTGGCCATCAAAAAGGCTGAATGGCAACCCTGATCCACTGTATGATAGTCATAACTTCTGATGAATATTTAAACACCGTGGCTGCTTGATTTTAGTCTTTACCAGTTATTCTTTACTGTACTTAGAATAGTATGTATGGCGCCCTCTATCGAGAGGGTATCGCAAGCCTCGCTCCGGTCAGTTTTCATTAAAATTTTCCAATTTAACTGTTACATTAGCGTGTCCGATCGTAAGTTAGTGTAGCTATTCCCCTCTAGAGAGTGGTGCTACATTATGATATAATTGTCTTTCCCCTTATAGAGTACAAGCATAGTAGCAATTTGTTAACATAAATTTCTTTGCTATTTTTAATCCTATTAAGGAAGCTGCCAATCTCATGGGGAATGCATCGGTGACCACTCAGATTCACTGATATTGGTAAGCAATAATCTCAGCAGGTCTATAAATTTACATATCGAATACTTTTATGTCTAATAAAGGTTTATCCATTACAAGCTTATGTGAACCCGGAAGCCATACAATAATGTGAGCCTGGTAACGCTAATAGTAAAATCGGTTTTTACAGTTCTATAATTTGTTCTACATTAACATTCAGTGGCGGATCTAGGATTTAGTAATGGGGGGGGGAGGGGTGGAATGCGATTTGCGAAGCACCAAGCCGGGAGGGGGGCGTGGTTTTGACAAGGGCGCAGATCTGTTTTAAAAGGTGAGGAGCGACATTTTGTGAGCCCACACCCACCTGAAAACACCTGGGGACCTTGGGGACGTATAACCACACAGCAAAATAACACGTCAGGTTGGACAAAATCTTTCCATCATCGCCCCAACCGGGAATCAAACCTGGGACCTTCGGATCGGAGGATCATATCTTATTATTGCTTCTGATTTTTCTGATGAGTAATAGCATATAAATTTAACATTCACAAAAATTGATTAATTGTACATCATTCGATCGCAGTCGCTGATGTTAGCGGAATTTGACACAAACCCAGCGTAGTACGAATTTGTGTTCGTCTTGATTAATTTTTTCAAGCGATTATTGGAAAAACATTGAAAAATTAATAGGAAAATTTATAAAAATATAAAAAATGCTGTGTGATAAAATCTAAAAACCCTCAATACGTCAAAGCATTGACAATCATTTAAAAAGTTCAATAAGTTACTATAATTAACTGGTTTACGCAAAAAATATAAAGACAACATTTTAACTCGTTCTAGTTTTTTATCGTATAACTAAACGTACAGTAATAAATGAGACATACAGAGTACATAATCGAGTCTTTATCTTCTTAATTTTATTATTGTAGATTAACACGGATAACTACAGTATGCTGTATTAAATGTATCAAATGGGATTAAACAAGCATAAAAAATATATTAATGTCCGTGTGATATGCTATACATAAATATAAATTGTATGGTCTTTGTATTGAAAAAATGTAGGTCTATTAGCTCTCATTGACGTCACGCTACGTGATTGCAATCACTGAATGTCCATGTTCAGTTATGTTTCAATTGTGATTATGAGTTAGGCTTATGTAAGTTACGCCCGACTTTAACATGGATGTTACTGATATTAGTGCCCGAAACGTCACGGGCGAAGAATTTTGGATAAATATAATATTTGTTTTAACTATTTATATACCATTGGACTTCGTGATCATTTGTGGAAACGCGTTTGTTTTTGCTGTCATTCGCCAAACTCCAAGTTTACAAAAGCCTCAGTTTACATTACTCGGAAGCTTAGCATTAGTTGACCTACTCACGGGAGTAATCGGCGTTCCCGTCTTTGTGTGGGGGTTTGTCACGCGGGGATCCCTTCACCTACTAAATATAGATAGCTGTCAGTTACAGTACTTTCCTATGAAAATTTTCATATCGACGTCGTTTCTCCACCTTGTTTTTATTACCACGGACCGATACGTCTCAATAGTAAAACCTTTGAGATATGAACAAATTGTTACTCGGTCACGAATTTATTGTGCTATTGCTTTTTCTTGGATTACCGCTTGTGTGTATGTCAGCATTCAATTGTTCTGGAAAAGCAAACGAATTGAAGGAGCATTCTTTTGCTTTCAAATGAATCCACAAGGTTTTGTAGTTCAACGTTACGTAGTTTTGATCCTGGTTCCGGCAGGTGTGATTTTACTGATTATAATGTACTTTCGTATTTTCATGGAGGCTAGAAAACACACAAGAGTCATAACATTGCATACCAGATTGAGCACTCAGACAACTGTTCATAAGAAATTTAAAGCAGCTAAAACAAGCGCTATGATAGTCTGCTTGTTCGCTGTTGCCTACTTACCTTATTCTCTAAGAGGCGTTATCTTTTTATTTGGGATTCAACGTTCTGAAATATACTGGTACGATTTGATGACGGAGGTGTTGTTGGCCATGAGTTCAGCCGTCAACCCATTCATTTACGTGTTCCGTCACAAGCAGTTTTCAACTGCTTTAAGTCGTATATTGCGAAACAACGCTGACGGTTATTGAATCACGTTTTTATGATGAATTTCAATGTACGGTACTTATTTTACTACATTTTATAAACACATTTTCAATTTTGGCGCATTTGTGTTAACTGCATTTTATAAGTCAGATTAAACACAGAGAACTCCATGACAGTAAACTTGGATTTACTGGAGTAATCCAGTCGTGAGTTTTAACTTTCAGTGCTTGTATTTCAATCTTGTAATAATGTTTGTCATTGTATCCTAAATGTTTTGATATAGGCCTATGATCATTAGTTAATTCGCCTGTTAGTAAAGACACTGGATACCGGAACTGATTGTGCACTAATTTTGAAGAAGATCTTGGCCCTGAGTGTTGGCCTGTGTTCTGAATTCTGATTTTTTGATAATTGTAGTTACATGTTGAGTATATTTATAAAAAGTTGATACTCTATTTTTTTTAAATCACCTATTATTATTATGATTAAACATTAAAATAGACTACACTGTGACAAATGTTGGATTGGAATCATAACATTGCTTGATACATTTGACAACGGCAATCTTAACAGCCTAAACACATAGTCGTGTTTTTCACGCAGTTATCTTTGCAGTTATTAATTCAATTCAATTCAATTCATTGAACATTTATTTCCATTTTCACAATTCAAAATAAAAAATCCTTTTGACAAATCCAAATACAATGGAGCAAAACTTTAAAAGCTCAGAAGTCTGCAGTAGGAAAGCCCTTGGATATATATATATATATAAAATATGTGTATATAATATATATATATATAATATATATATATGCTCTACAGGCCTATATGCTTATGTATACGGTATATGTTATATGAGCATTACTGAATATCGGTATGGCATTTATTTGCAACCAGCATTCAGAATCGGCTATCACTATTGAAACACATTTTGTTTACGCGCATTTACTCTTAATTTATTTGATGTGTTTCGATTCGAGAAATAATTTAAGAAATTTCTACTCTCTGTGTAACACATAGGTGTTTCATTAGTATAATGTTCTGTAATATGGGAGGAAAAATATTGATTTAGTATGATGCCACCTAACTCACGTGACTTTAAAAATGGCCTCAATCAATACTGACTTAAGTAATCAAAATACAAGACTTGGGCACTGAGTATGATATTCTGTTATGAAAATGGAGTATTCAATGATAGAATCGTAAATAATATATTTAGGTAACTAAGTAACAAATAGTAATGGAAATAGAGTGTTGCTACAAAAGAAATTTGACTTACAAATTTTCAGTTATACACACTAATTGTATCGTAAATTATATTTTCTCGTTTACAGTTAATTACCCAAATTTTAACACAGAAAATGACTAGAACGATTATCGATTATGACAGGGAACATGTTATTTGCATATATGGAAGTTAGCAGTACTCAAAACAGGCGTTGGAAATGCCCGGAAAGTAATACGCCTACAAAATACAATATAAGTCGAGATTTAAAATTGTTAAGGCGAGATCTAAACACTACATTTTTAGATTGGGATAGAAACCAAAGTACAATAAAAGGCCGCCAAAAAATAATAGAAATTAAAACATACATGAAGAATTTAACGCTACCCGGCACACCGTCACTGGAAGAAAACTGAGTGCTATGATGATATCTAGAAAGAAAGATTAAAAAAGAAAAAGCTGATTTTACCAGTATCACTGAACAACTTATATATACATCTGTTGTTCAGTATCACTGAACAACAGATGTATATATAAGTATAAGGGAGATAAAAATTTAACCAAACAACAACCGTGGACGTTACATCACTGCCACCTGTTCAAAAATATTTGTTGTCAAGGGATGTCGAACCGTTAAGACCACTGTATTAAACACTACGTCTACTAGATAATGCAGATAAATAATATTTTTTAGAAAATGTGTTGTCCAATGACTCGACATGTAACTTATTACATTATTTATTTAGTATTGAAGTGTTAACTTTATAACTGTAGTCTCCACCTAAATATTTGATGCATGTGTCATGTGATTCAAGTAATTAAATATAGGTGTCCTGTGATCCTGCTATTCAAAACTCCATCATTGTATATTCTTCTGTATTATGCTGAGTGACGTCGCATCTTCTGATTGGACTTTAGTTACTGAGACCACTTTATGTACAATATAAACATCTTCAGTTCTGTTTCAGTTCTCATTATTAGAATGCGTTTTGATTACGTTCTGTTTTCGACTGTAAAATGGATTTGACTGTCGCCCGAAACGTCACGACCAACGAAATTAGGGATAATCTAATAGTTTTTCAACTGTTTATGTACAATTAGACTTGGTGATCATTTGCGTTCTTACTGTACTTACAATAGCCACAGTTTACTTTACTCGCCAGCTTAGCGTTAAGTTGAGCTACTCACTGCGATTATCAGTGTCCCCATCTCTGTGTGGGGGACTGGCATGCGGGAATCTCTCCACCTACTGAACATTGAAAACTGTCAATTACAATATATCCCTACGAAAATTGTTATATCGGCGTCGTTCATCTTGTTTTTATTACCACGGACCGATACGTCTCAATAGATAAATCTTTAAGATATGGACAAATTGTTAATCCGACCCGAGTTTATTGTGCTATCGCTATCTCCTGGATTTTAGCCTGTATATATAGCGGAGTTTGTTTTTTTTACTGGAAAGGCTTTTTCTTTGCTACCAAATGAATCCACAAGGTATTACAGTTCAAACGTTACGTCGCTTTGATCCTGGGTCCTACATGTGTAATATTAATGGTCATAATGTACTTCAGTATTTTCATGGTGGCAAGGAAGCACATAAATACCATAGATCCAACATCAGTAGGCACACAGACAACTATTTATAAGAAATTTAAAGCGGCTAAGACATGCGCATTGATAGTCTGCGTATCGTCATTTCCTATTTACTTTATTCTATTGGAGATGTTATATCTATATTATTTTTCAACGTTTTGATATAATTATATTGGTATAATTTGATATCGGGGGTGTCAAACCGTTCATCTACGTGTTCCGTCATAGGCAATTCTCGTCTGCTTTATCTTTATTTATATAACAGCTGTGCATAATTATTATTATTATTATTATTATTATTACCAGATTGTTATTATTATTATTAATAATAATAATATTATTATTATTATTATTATTATTATTATTATTATTATTATTATTATTATTATTATTATTATTATTATTATTATTACTATCATTACAAGAGCACTCAGTAGAGAGCATATTTCCGCCCACTCTTCTCAAATACGCAAAGTAACTCGCCCAAACACTTTTTACTTCAAAGAGGGGCACCATTTCCACTTTTAGTATATGTCTTTGGGACTCTTTTTAAGAGTTACCATTTTTCGATTTTGTAATCCAAATTCCACCAAAGTTCAATGTCGGCTTACTTTTCACTATACATGTTACGTTTTGAACACAGAATTCAAGCAACATATAGTATTAAAGCATTTTATTTTCAACTACTGATTGTAAAAAAAAAAAAAAAAAAAAAAAATGTGACAACCACTTACTTTCTAACCATTACCTACTTAAAGAAATACACTAACCGGCCAAACGGAAACGCCTTTTATTGTATTTATAGTTACCTGCCAATTTCTTACTTCTGCTGGTTAAACACACGGGAACATTTTAATTTTTTATTTTTTGTTTTATAATAGTTCTGGCAAACAATACATAAAGAGTAAACATGAAAAAAAAAGAGTTCGGAACACAGAAACCAACTGTGCTAATAGTAAAGACCTTCCCAACAATACAATCAAAACCCACATATAAAGATTAAATTACAGTATTTGAGAAAACTACGAACATTTAAATTTTGAAACATGGATGAAATTAATGAAACATGTGACAATACTTTCTTTTCAAAGCTTTGTGCGTGACCAGAATTAACTACGAGAGGTTATACTTCGCTTTCCTTACGGCTTCGATTGAAGGGCGCTTCATCACTGTCTGGGATACCACCTCTAGTTTTTTAAGAATTATATTTCCCTTTTCAACTGCATTTTTTTTTTTTTTTTTTTTTTTTTTTTTTTTTTTTTTCTTGCATTTTATTCGCTTCTCTTTTACTGGACCTTTCTATTAGTTGGTCTTTGAATTGTTTTTTTTTTTTTTATTGAATTTGTAAATATCTGAATTTTAACAATGTAATCTGTTGTATGTACAGGGGTTGCAGACACATTCGTGTTATGGCGCATTGTTGCTGATGCAACCCCTGGACCGTTTGACGTCAAATACATAAATGAAATGAAACAAAGGGCATACCGCCCTCTCACTTGTGCTATCCCTATATCGTCCTATTTTGTCACTAGACGGTGCTACCAGAATTGTGCGTGACCATAACTACGAGAGGTTTTGAGTGATTATTTCGTCTACTAAGACGCCCTGGTTCAATTAAAATGCCAGGAGTTACATAATGGATATTATTTACGAATCTGAACAATGTTACAAGTTTGAGTACCAAACGTCTGGATTCAAGGGTCATAATATTCATTTTCTTACACCTATCTGCATACGAAATGTCTCAATATTTACAACAGACTTTTAGAGCAAATCTTTTGACTGATTCAAGCTGCTTAATATGTTTACAGTATACGGAGGTCAAAAACTTGATAAGCATATTCTAACCTAGGTCGAACCATATTTTCTCTATGGTCGAACTAAGGTAGTATGAAGTTTTAAAGCGTCTTAGAGTCGCACTCATTGTAAAATTGCCTGTAAATATATCCAACAAGTTGTTTTGATTTTCTTACAAATAATATCAATAATGATGTGACCAACAAAGATAATTAGAGATGTTTATAATTGTTAACTTCCTCGATATCATTAGCTTCGTTAATTTTTTTTTCTCTTTCGTGGCGTAACCACCACCTTTATTCAAACAATCAGTACAGTACAGTACAATATTTCCTTCTATATCGATTTTTTTTTTCATTACCTTCATGGCATTACTGTTTTTTTTTTTTATACAACCAGTAACGTGTATAATCGAATAAAGGTAATTTGGAACTAAATATAATTTAAATTGATTAATAGAATAATTTTATTTTTTTTATATCACATTATACGGTATATCATTATAATAAGCATACTTTATTTAATATAATCTTCATGAAATGAAAGAATACCATTTTTTAAAATTTTAAATATATATTATATATACACATATACATTCACACATACCCATATATAGGCCTATATATATATATG